TTTTTGTGAAATTTGATGTTGATTCTAGGCGCTTATAAATTCACATATGAAAAATATACAGTTCAGCATAATAATAAGAAACAATTTAATGGAATGATAAACCAATAATTATTTGGTAAATAAAGTCCAATAGTAAATATACCAGAATAGTTGACTGGCTTTCTTTAAATTTAACACTTCCACATAACCTGTGATAACAACAAACCATACATGTGGCAAAACTAGAGTTGTTCAAATCAAAAAACCTAATCATTTGCATATAAGAACAAGAATTTACATTCCAGACATTCTTGAGTATTGTTGGATAGTGGCTAGCAGTGGATTTTAGGAAGTATGTTTCGTTCTATTTGGCACTCATCAGCTGGACGCGCCTGTCTCAGTGTTGGTGTTCACATTCCATGCTCGTTAATATACAATAAACAAAAAATCAACTAACTGAGACGCAACTGCCTCTAATTCGGCTCACGAGGCATTTTAGTATGTTTCTGGTATCAAATATTTTATTTTCTCTGCATGGTTTACGCTTTTGCTCGATTAAGTTAGCCTTCCCTCTGTAGACGTTTTGTTTTATTTATAAATTTACGGACTTATATAGCATAAATATAAAATCATCAACAGACTAATTCGATAAACTTTGGTAATGCCTTCCGTAAATTCACCACATAAGAAGGCGTTTGAGGAATAGTTTCGTAACTGTCGCATTGTTTCAAATCACTTGTCAATCCATTCTATATATCTGAACCGAACTTATGTTAAATTTGTGGAGACAGTTAGTAGAAAGCTCTAAACTGGGTTTTCATGTCTTCACGCACTCATAAGGGGTGACTTAGTTTCGAAAACTGGCGCTATCCAGTCAGAATACGTTGCAAATGAGACTGCCGTTACTGAGCAAATAATTACTAGTAACATTCATAACCAATATACAGTAAACGATATCTTAAGTAGGATTATGCAAGAGCTTTTTGTCAAGTTTTAAGATGAGAGCGATACATTGTTAACTACTTATAAGTAGATAAACTTTATACGCACAAGTTTGATCAGTATGTTATGCAGTCGAAATGAAGTATTTAAAAGTCCTCTGCTATGTTGGGTTGTGTAGCATAAAACTCTAATGGCTCTCAGAAGTATTGCAATGCCTTATCTAACATTTTACGCTTTTCAACTAAGATTCAGCAAAGATAAACTGACCCTCAAGCTGTTAGTCTCAGCTGTAGAAATATGATTTATTACTTCAAAAACGAAAGTAGTTCCGCTAACTTCTACAAATTTTATGGTTTTTGCAATCAAAATGGAGTAAGAGGAACTCGCCACAATTTAATATCCTGAAAATTCCATGCCATACCCGAGCATTCGAATACATTGATTATTACACTAAATTAATATATTGACTTCAAAGTTTCAAATACCTCGTTCGTGTGCATGAAACATAATGGTCGTTAGAGTTATTCATACGAAGTTACAAAAACTGATAGCGTTTCAACAGTTAATCGAGTAATTTACTCCTATTCCTAAAAAACTTCGATGTCTTAGGGTATTGAGGGTCATTCACGAATAACATATCCACTATATACTTCCAATACTAAGAAACGTTTTCCCAAATTACAGATGGGATATGGCCTATTCCGCAACCGTCATGAGCTTTCTTGAAGTCAAGTATTATTCGATAGATTAGTTCATCAGCAGGGCCCCCTATGATTTGACGAGGAAAAGTAGCACTACTAGATCATGATGTAGTCGAACGCGTTGACAACTTCACTTATCTTGGAAGTCTGATCAGCCCTAATGGATTGGTGTCTGACGAAATCTCAGCACGGATTCAAAAAGCTCGCTTGGCTTTTGCCAACTTACGTCACCTATGTCGAAGGCGAGATATCCGTCTATCAATAAAAGGACGAGTATACAGCGCGGCAGACCGGTCTCTTTTAATTTATGGCAGCGAAGCATGACCATTAAGAGTAGAAGACACTTGTAAGCTACTAGTATTTAACCACAGATGCCTTAGAAATGTTGCTGGCATCTGCTGGGATCACTGGGCAAGTAAAAGTGAAGTTAGACGCAGGGTATTAGGAAATGATGGTAAATCAGTTGATGAGGTTGTGAATCTTCATCGACTGAGATGGTTGGGTCACGTGTGCCCGAACACCGATTACCACGACGTGCAATGCTAACCGGTGTTGGGGATGGTTGGAAGAAAGTTAGGGGCGGCCAAACCAAAACATGGCATCAGTGCTTGAAGTCGCTAACTTCTAGTCTAAGCCATGCTGGTAGATGCAGACTACTTGGTTGGGGTCCGAGTGACTATCTTAACCAATGGTTGGAGACTCTTAGTGACATGGCTCAGAATCGATCACAATGGCGTCGGTGTATACACTCTCTGTTTTCCCTTAAACTAAGAGATTAAAATCGCTTCATTTCTTTCTTTCTATGAACTAATTCTTTCTTCCTGTACTATATCCCTATTGCAATCTTTTATATATTACCACCTCTGAATTAACTACTTTTATGAGTCCGGTGCCCATCTTGTTACGTTAATGAGGTATGGCAACTTGGACCGATGCATAAATGTGCCTGGTCCTACGTTGTAGCTGACTGACTGATGTTGATGAACAATGATGAAAACGAGGCGATGAGTAGAAATACGGTGATAGGATCCTCAACATTTAAATGAGGGGAAGGAACAAAGGCATTTGAGTTGCTACAGTTGATTTATTTTCATAAATCATAATCACACTTCGACCTAAACACCTCTTGGAACCTCAGACTCTACTATCGTCTCAGTCGCGATAGCACGTTGGCCTACCCATAATCACACATACCCAAGACCACAGTGAACATCCATAACAGACAAACTCTTCCCCACTATAACCGACGATCTACCTTTACGTGGCAACATCCCGCAGCATAGGTTCTTCACTTTGAAGCTGAAAACATCTTAAAACCTTTGTTAACTATGTTTCATATCCGTAAAGTAACCACTGTGCAAAGTTCTTAACACTCAATAAACATTCATATATTTAACTGGCCGACAGATAATGAAGCTTAGCAAAATCCAAAGACATCTTGATTATCTATCTCATACTTTCATAGGACGTGAATACACTGGAGTTGTTTAGTATCAACAGTGCGAAGTCGCAAAACCACTTCACACTTTATTTAGATATAACTATATGAACCAAACATGTAGTAAAGTTCTGCGCTTGCTAAAAGATCCTGTAGAACCTTAAGTTGCTATGGCCTTTATTTAACCGGAGTAAATCCGCATCTCAACGATTAGAAGAAATCATTAAAACCCGGGAGCGAAAATCAAGCCTTGCTGTCAGTCAATCAAAAAGTAGCAATCAGAACTAATTCAGGTTACCAACGAAAGTTCCCTTTAACAATTCCCAGCTTTCTCAAAGAAACGTGACGTAAATGAAAAAGGAATAATCCAGTATAATCACACCAAAACTATCTACACAAAGCATATTATGCTGAATAATTCAACTGCCAATTTAGTGATACATGAAATACGGTACCCATCAGTTTATGACTTGAATTCAACAAGCTTGCTTTGTTTTTTCATACTCAAGCTACCTGTGAGACAGGTGATACCTCTTTCTATGAGCCAAATGGACGGTACTCTAAGCAGTAGTTATCTAAATCTATGGCTGCAAAACATTACTCCCAGAAATAGTGGGTATTTGTATTATGACCTGTCCCAGGACCGGCCCAAAGCCACAACTTCGCTGTTTTTCAAGATGATGGATTTTAAACTTATCCTACATGTTTAATTCCGCGAATACTTTTCGATAAAATTACCTAGGCTTAATATATTTTACTATAGTTGATACTATGACTACTTCTAATACTCTAGTATTCATTTTAATAATTTGGTAGTTTCTCAGTCATCGATCCCATCAAATTTTCATCACGTGATTCTCGGAAACGAAGACTATCAACACTATTGCAACCAAACCAATGAAGTGGCTTGAGTACAGTTCGGGGTTCGGTTAAACAATGCCAACAAGGGAAATACCACGCTTTGACGTGATTCGCTCATGGGACGCTCAACGAATGAGATACAGAATACACTTCTTAACCAGGCACGTCAAAGTACGCCCCATATTATTTACACAAAAATGACCAGAGACGAACACTTATCCGTCTTAATAATATACCACGAGAGAAACCCGCAAATGCAGTAATCCCTTATTTCTAACTCAATGGAAGGTCATTTGAAAGAGTTTCAGCTGATGCGAAGCTACTGCTGGTCAGCATAACCGGTAACCAATAACGCAAATCTACATCATGTTGTAACTTCAGGTATACAAGTCGAAGTAGAAACTGCATCTACTTCCAACACAATCCACCATGTAGTTAGCGCAAATCTGAGAATATGAAGCACAATCAGGTTAATTAGAAATCTCAACATTTGAACGCGTATAGAGGAAAGAAAGGTGATTATCCTCAAGATTCTAAAGCAACTACAAAGCAGCTTAGACAATGCATGAGGCGGGGATTTTAAGGACCAAACCGTTTATTCTGTTACTAACCTAGTATCATACTTGTTTATCAAAAGCCTGGCTTTTCGTATTGGCTGCCAAGCATAGCATTTAGTGAAACTTAGTGACTTAAGTAATGTCTAAAAAGAGTACGAAACTACCAAGAATTGCGACCAAGAAAACTGAGTGGGAAACAGAGATTGCCAAGATTTCAAGAACTGTAGCATGACTGACCTCTGAACCTCATCTTACCTACAGGGAAGACTATTTATACTTAATATGGTGTTCTTGAACAATACATTTTTCATAAAACAGAGAGCAGCTACTACGTAATTGCGAAACCAACCGGCAATCGATTACTAAATCAACGATGTTACAACTAATACATGTGGGTGCTAACATGGGAATCAAATGCACGGTATATAACCCAATCAAGCAGGAACAGTAAATAGGACGAGCTATCATTAGAATGATCACGCCAACATATATCCAGTTGCTAACAATTGAAAGACAATAATATCCAGGTGAATTTTATATTGAATTACACTGAATCAACTTTTGGAGGTTCATAGTGATCTGGGCGAGAAACAGTTTCCCCAGGAGCGGCTGACTTCGACTCACCATGAAGTTCCATCAACCGGGCAACTAAAAAATGAACGAAAACATAGTCGAACTTACGATCAGCTTTTGGTTTTTTTAGCACCTTAACCTTGCGAATAAATGTTTCACTAAGTGGATAAATCCACGATGCAGCCTTTCGAGCATCCTGTGCAATGGAGTCTGGAATACTGAAAAACTTAGCTAAGTATCTCAGACTTACAGCTTATTGACGACCTCCTTCAAGTCGCAGGTAGAAACTTCCTGTCGAATAATGTCGATAAGACGCGCACGTATTCGTTTAATACGTGTGCTCTGTGCGTAAGAATGGAGTCTTTCGGACCGAGGAACACTTGGAGTGAACGTGATTATGAAGAAACGAAGCAAGTATCCATCTGTTGTCTTTATATCAACATGTGCTTCGATGGTTGAACGCCACTTGACAACAACTGAACACAACTTGTCTCGAGTAAGTTCCAGTCCATGAAAATTGGTTAGGCAGTGACGTCCCTGGACATCTTCAACCTGAAGTTTAAATTTGCGGAAGAATTCTTCATTCTTCTCGCTGAGATCTCCGAGACTAAGTGTAACTACACGACCTTTGAGTGCGTCACTGGCTATACGTGTGCCTTGAGTTCGTGTCACCAGTGTTCGTGCACAAGTCCTCTTGGAAAACATGGCTGGAGCCTTAATGTCATACCACTCTTTTTTGGTGAATGGGTCGGACCTATATAGATAAAGCTTAATAATTCAATGTCGTACGTTTTCTTCTTCCCGCCTTTCTTTCCCCCTTTTGTAACTTTTTTCTGACCGCCGACTGCCATTATAATACCTGTGGGTAAACCGTTTTAAATTTAACTTAAAACCCGAAGGGATCAGACAAAGCACCGATACATGCCAACCACGAGACCTACCTGTGCACAGATACAACTGATGCGCCTCGGTGCTAATTTCAACAAGGTCAAAAGCCTTCAATCCTCAATTAAAATCTGATAGAAATTCTAAGCATACTGAAAGAAAATTGAGGGGCATATAGGTTCCACTCCTAGCGTTTGACTACTATCTAACTGAGAGTGCCCTATTACTTCGTGAAACAAAAAGGTAATACTCTTTTTTTTTTCTTCTATAACTGCGCTAGCGTGTTTCAAAATGGTCGAACTATTCCTGACATATCTAAGTATTTTCGAAATGAAGAGTGTTTCTATATTTAGAACCCGTCCGATCTGGCTTTAAGCCCTGTTTCCCCATCCTGCTGTTTTCACTAATACGCACAAGCAATTTTTAACCAGTACCAACAAGCAAAGAATTCACCTGCACGAGAAATACTCTAATTGATGGTACCTGATTGTAAGGGTAACAACCGATATGTACACAAAGAATTAGACATTATATCAACTAAATCTATGAATAAAGTGATTTTCAGTGGAAATTTTCGTGTTTGAACTATGCTACTGTCTCTGTGCAGAAATTTAGAGGATTATTTTACCTATATCCAACTCCAATAATTAGCATCCCGTTAACAGAGTATTAAATGCATTCTAAATCCCCTAAAACAATTACGGATATACTCGAGATTTATTCAGAAGCCTGAACACCAGTTATAGAGATAGTTCATTGTTAAGGATTTGTAAAATCCGCAAGAACTCGGCATTTAGCTCTTCTATAATTACTACCAGTCCCAAGCAAAGGTAAAGAAGGAGGGTTTGGCATAGGGTTAGCGTCCCCATTCCGTAGAAAACTAACTCGCTAAAAAACACTGACCAGAAAATATAATTCAAACCATTTAAACTCTGCCATGGGAGTTAGAAGGTCTTCATTTAGAAGAACTATGACGCCTCATGGTGAAAGCCGAGTTCCTTCGAAAGCCACGGGGCCGATGCCCCTTCTAACAACCAGAGCAAAAATTTTTATAGGTACATGGAACGTCCGGACAATGTGGGAGACCGGGAAGACCAGTCAAATAGCAACGGAAATGAGAAGATACAAATTCGCAGTACTGGGAATCAGCGAAACCCATTGGACCCTAGCTGGACAACAAAGACTAAATACGGCAGAGATGCTGCTGTACTCCTGTAACGAAGAGGAAAATGCTTAATGAATATTATCCAATGTTATGCACCCACAAATGATAGAAACGACGACATTAAAGATCAGTTCTACGAGCGGCTGCAGTCAGTCATTGAGAAATGCCCAAGAACGGACATCACCATTCTAAAGGGAGATCTAAATGCCAAAGTCGGAGTAGACAACACTTGATATGAAGGTATCATGTGACGGCACGGACTGGGAGAGAGAAACGAAAATGGAGAAAGATTTGTAAATCTATGTGCATTCAACAAATTGGTCATAGGGGGCACAATATTTTCACACAAGCGTATACACAAGGCTATATGGATCTCACCGGACCACACTACAGCGAACCAGATAGATCATATTTGCATCAACAAAAAATTCCGAAGGACAATGGAAGATGTGAGAACCAGGAGAGGAGCTGACACAGCTTCAGATCACCACCTAGTTGTAGCCAATTTAAAACTGAAGCTAAAAAAGAACTGGACAACTGCACAAACAGCAATACAAAGGTTCATTACAGCCTTTCTTCGAGATAATGACAGACTCAATGAATTCAAGATAGCTCTCAACAACGGGTTCCAAGCCTTACAAGATCTACTGAAAGAAGAAGAAACTACTATGGAGGATAACTGGAAAAGTATCAAAAAAGCATTAACTTCAACGTGTCAAGAGTTTCTGGGCCTAAAGAAGCACCATCATAAGGAGTAGATCTCTATAGAAACACTGGACAAGATCAAAGAAAGGATGAACAAGAAGGCAGTAATTAACAACATCCGAACACGAGCAGAGAAAGTCCAAGCACAAGCTGAATACACAGAAGCAAACAAGCAAGTGAAGAGGAGCATTAGAGCCGACAAGAAGAAATATGTGGAAGAACTAGCAACAACGGCAGAAAAAGCTACTAGAGAAGGAAATATGAAACAGCTTCACGATACAACGAAGAAACTAGCAGTGAAATGCAGTAAACCAGAGAGACCGGTCAAAGACAAAGAAGGCAAGCCAATCACCGAAATTCAACAACAGCGGAACAGATGGGTAGAATACTTCGAGGAACTCCTGAATAGGCCGGCTCCAATGAATCCACCGGACATCGAAGCGGCACACACAGATTTTCCCATAGACGTCAACTCACCAACGAAGGAAGAAATCAGAATGGCCGTCAGACAAATCAAGAACCGGAAAGCAGCGGGTCCGGACAACATACCAGCTGAAGCACTGAAGTCAGACATCGAAGTAACTACAAACATGCTTTACCTTCTATTCAAAAAGATTTGGGAGGAGGAACAAGTGCCGATGGACTGGAAAGAAGGACGCCTCTTCAAGATTCCAAAGAAAGGAGATCTGAGCAAATGTTAAAACTATAGAGGCATTACACTACTGTCAATACCATGGAAAGTCTTTAATTGAATTTTGCTGAACCGGATGAAAGATGCAGTAGACGCCCTACTTCGAGATTAACAAGCTGGATTCCGTAAGGATCGATCATGTACAGACCGAATTGCAACACTACGGATCATCGTCGAACAGTCAATTGAGTGCAACTCGTCACTATACATCAACTTCATTGATTATGAAAAGGAATTCGACAGTGTGGATAAGAGGACACTACGGAGTTCCCGAGAAGATTGTCAATATTATCCGAAACTCATACGACGGACTACAATGCAAAGTAGTGCATGGAGGACAGCTGTCAGATGCATTCCAAGTAAGGACCGGAGTCAGACAAGGCTGTCTACTCTCTCCCTTCCTCTTTCTTCTGGTGGTCGACTAGATTATGAAGACCTCAACATCTGAGGGAAAACACGGAATACAATGGACAGCTCAGAATCAATTAGACGATTTGGACTTCGCAGATGACCTAGCCTTCCTATCGCATACACACGAACAAATGCATATAAAGACAGCCAGTGTAGCAGCAGTCTATACATCAGTAGGCCTCAACATACACAAGGGGGAAACCAAGGTCCTCAAATACAACACGGCGAACAGCAATCCAATCACACTTGATGGAGAAACTCTGGAACATGTAGAATCCTTCACATAGCTGGGAAGAATCATTGACAAACAAAGAGGATCAGATGCAGACGTAAAGGTGAGGATTGGCAAAGCAAGGACATCATTCCTACAATTGAAGAACACATGGAACTCAAATCAACTTTCAACCAATATCAAAGTCAGAATCCTCAGTAAGAACATCACGACAGTTCTACTGTACGGAGCTGAAATGCAGAGAACTACTACAACCATCATCAAGAAAGTTTAAGAATTTTAAAGATAGTTGTCTACACAAGATACTCAACATCCATTGGCCGGATACCATCAGCAACAGCCTTTTATGAGAGAGAACAAACCAGCTTCCAGATGAAGAGTAGTTAGGAAAAGATGATGGAAATGTATAGGACATACATTAGACAAATCATCAAACTGCATCACGAGACAAGCCCTGACTTGGAATCCTGAAAGGAAGCGGAAAAGAGGAAGACCAAAGAACACATTACGTCGGAAAATAGAAGCAGATATGAAAAAGATGAATAACAACTGGGAGGAGCTGAAACGAGCTGTCCAGGACAGGGTTGGATGGAGAATGCTGGTGAGCGGCCTATGCTTCTTCACGAGGAGTAACGGGCGTAAGTAAGTAAGTATGTAAATTCCGCAAGCGTACAGGAAGCAAGCAGAGAGAAACCAAGTGTGTGTGTGTGAGTGTTAAAAATCCATATATCTTTTAGAGTTTTAATCAAGTATGGCTAAATTATTGATTGTTTGTGTATTACAACCGAATGGATAATAGATTAAAAATTAACATGTGCCCAATCATACTCACACAGAAATTTACGTAGTGGATTAAGTGTCTAGATTACAGTGAGCAGATAAATAATATAGTAGTTGGATGGGCTTACTGGAGAACAAGCCAATCCTGTGACCTCAGTCATCCAGCTTCGATATGCTTCTTTTTCGTGTACACTCAAACCATCAAGCCCTTACTCGTGAATTATATCAAATACGCTCATAATCATTAAGAAAAGCAACGCGACCGGAAATGAATGATTATCTATTACAAAGAACTACGTGAAAAATGTTAGTCGGAAGTAGAAGAGATAGGATGGTTGGGGCTTTCTCACTGACAAGTAACTGTGAAGTTTAATAATGATTTTGGCCGCCCATTCTACTAAAATAGAGCATTAAATAATTATCTTTTCTTCTGAAGTTCCCACGGTAAGTTTGCTGAGTCACCAACTGAAAAATCCCGAACCAGCTATACCTACGGAAACGATCACTTGCAAGTAATAGTCCTGACACATTAAGTTGGAAACCAAGCTTCACTGAACCTGATACCCTCGAAAGCCCGCGGTAAGTGAAATCGAATAAATCAGGCGTGGTACAAGTCGGAGTATTGAGTAAGCAACTGATTGTTGGTTTTCAAGACACGCTTGCTATTATTACAATGTCACAACATAAAAAGTTAATCATACTGACAATTTATTCACTCAAAATGTCAATAGTACATACTTCAACCTTACCGACATTCTTTCAGGGAATGATTTATTGATTATTTAACGAAGATATCACTTTCTTGAAGTGTGTTCGGAACATATAGGTGAAACTGTAACTTGGATTCAGAGATGAACAAAGTAGTATAAAAATTATTTCCATTCTTATTTATTCTGACGATGACACTAAAAGTACATTCAGTTATAACAACTGTGAAACTAACAAGGACCAGGACAAAGGCCAATTCTGTATATCAGTTGCATACGCAAATGCTCATATCAGGTGCTAGAAGTAGCAACAATCAGCAGTTTTCGCTACTTCGCTAAATTGAAAGTCGCCACTGCTTTATGAGTCTATTCAGCTTCATAATCCTTGTAAGGATGCCATATGTATTTGGAGTTTGTCAACAATTTAACCAG